GAGAAGCGGTTGGAGGGTGGAGAAGATGTGGGAAGGAGGGGAAAAGAGGTGGAAGGGAGAGGAGGGTGGGAGTGGGGAGAGGAGGGTGGGAGTGGGAAGAGGAAGGGTGAGAGTAAGAAACAAAATAATGTCTCATATTCAGGCTGCTGAGCCTCCTTGAGGTATGTCGGTATCGATCGGTGTGATTTAGTGACTCGCACCGTTAGTCAGCTGTGTGCTTCAGTAACTAAGCTCCAGTGCTATCCAAGACTGTGAAGCATTATTAACCCATACTGCTTTTCAGCACTGTATTTTTCATGAAGGTGTTTTGCAGCTATTCAGCAATGGAAGTGTTTTTACGCCCCCATCAGCACAATTTAGATAATTCAGGGGGGGGGGGTGGAAGGACTTCCGACTATGCATGCCTGGGCCAACCCGTTCTGAGAGAGAGGAGGGATGCAACATCTCAGCAGGAAAACTATACTATATCTAGATAGAACATTTCTCCCCAAGCCGGAATCGAACCCGGGTCTCCTGCATGCGACAGAAAGGCACCAAAATGCTTCATCACAGACGCCTGTATTCAGCTTTGTGGCTTATTATCTAATGTTAACTCAAAGCACAATTCAGCACTGCACATTACCCTACTCTCGAATTACAAAGTCTCTATCTGCTCATGAATACATAGTTTTGAGGAATTTCACGTTAAAAATGTTGAGTTCCACAACACGTCATGCTTTTTAGAATGCAATTCTTTTGGGTCTTTTTAATAATAACTTGAATAATCTTACGATTTTGATAGAATATAGATCATATTCTCGTTCCTGACTTCATAGTCTTTGTAGCTATAAACGGCTGAACATGTCAGAACTATGTTATTCTAAGGTACCGAAATTTAGTTACTCATGCCGCTATTCAGCACTATCGCTCATTAACTGATGCCGCTATTCAGCACTGTGGCTCATTAATTAACTCACGTGCGTGTAATGTCTCCTGAAAGAAGTACTCGGAGATGGGCCCCAGGCCAGCAGAGTTGTAGACCTGTATAGTAAAGAAGTAGAAGTTGTCGCTCTTTAGACCGATAACGATGCCCATGTCTATCTGCCCCTCGTGACGGATAAATTCTTTGTAGTCTGTTGCCACTTCTTCTTCGTGCCAGTAGTTGATCTGGTTTGGGGAATTTTAAAAGAAAGAACGGGGG